AGTTCTTACGGGATCTTACTCTCTAGCAGGGGTAGCAAATTAGTAGCCACTCAGTGCTCACTTTGAGAATTACTTATATCATAAATTTGAGCATGTAGCTGATGAATATCCACAGACAAGTGGATATTATTCCACAACCTCCTAAAATGCTGTTGGATTTCTGTCTTTTCTTGCTGGATCCCCTATCTTCACTTAAAATATCTCCATCTCCTGGGCTAAAATATGCCCCAAACTCTAATGATTAGACACAGTTCCAGGTCAGGGTGCAAGGTTTAACAAGCAGAGCCTCGACTGGATTTCTGTTCCTATCAGCCTATTCAGCCCAATGCCCATTTGCATGGATATGCAGCACAACTATATCCTGCAGCGCATAATTCTTCTCTCTCTTTTTTTCTACTCTCTCTTCCTCTGCAACCTGGCTGATTTTATGCTTTCAACTCTAACCTGTATGTTTTACCTATGGACACTCTAAATTTGATATGGTCCAAATGGAATTGATTATCTACATACTCTCAAACATAGACCTACTTTTCTTTATTTCCTTTGTTGATTAATACCACCACCATAGATACTCTCATTCAACTGAAACACTCAAGATTATTATGCCTCTTCTCTTTCTAAGGTTTAGGGCATTCATCTGCTCCCAAGCACACCACTGGACTAGCCTAACTAGTTTTCCCTATTTCCAGAATCTCTCCCCTCCAACCCACTGTCATTAGGGTTATTTCTTTGCAGAGACCTGAGCATATCACTCCTCTGATTGAAAACATACTTTTGGCTTTTAATTACTCAAAGGATGAAGTCCAAATGCCCAAGCATGGCATATATAACCTTTCATCTATTTGCTCAAACCTATCTTTCCAGTCTGACACCTTCTCACTACTCCCAACATGGTCCTTGCTCTTAACCACATCAAGCGTATGATGCAGCTTCTTATGGTTTTGCTGTGTGCTTTAATGCCTCCGTGCCTTTGATATTTCTGCAGTTTTCAGTACCATTCCACCATCTTCTCCTCACCTTCCTGGACTTCATGTTCAGGCCATGAGGCAGCTTCTTAACCATGGTTTTGCTGTGTGCTTTAATGCCTCTGTGCCTTTGATGGTTCATTGACTGCACTTCTGTTACTTTGCCTTGCAAAATCCCGTCCCCTTTTCAAAACATGCTTACTTGTCATCTTTCATGAATTTTTTTAGACACCTCTGACCCTCTTCATTACTTCTACTGCACTAGTGTTATTCAAGTATACATAGCCTAAAAACGGTTTTGCAGCCCTTTCTCAGTACACTGTTCCTTTTTTTTTCTCAGTACATTTTTTTCTTAATGTTACTTTGTTAGTTACTATTTCATTTTGTTAATATCTATGTCATCAACAACTTGTCAAGTGCCTAGTACCTGTGGCACTGTAGGATAAGCACTGGACTGCTAACTGCAAGGGTGGCAGTTCAAACCCTTGGAAACCCTGTACAGGGTCTCTATGAGTTGGAACTGACTTGACAGCACATAACAATAACCATGTATCCTGAACTGAAGTCCTTGTGTGGAGCAAGCAGTTAAATGCTCAGCTGAAAGTTGGCAGTTTGAACCCAAACCAGAGGTGCTTGGAAGATAGGCATGGGCATCTGCTTCCAAAAGGTCACAGCCCGAAAAATCTTGCAGAGCACAATTCTACCCTGCAGACATGAGTCCGAACCAATGGGCCAACAACAAATAATATGTGTTCAATTGGAAAGCATAATTAAACCTGACTTTATGAAAGGGCCAATGATTTCTTCCACTGTAACAGTGCATGATATTCCTTTTCTTCAGATGAGGAGAAAATCTCAGAATAGGGTGATTGGTAGGCCCTACTGGAGATGGTTCCGGGTGTGGCTCTATACGATAAACACTTGACTTTGAACAACAAAGTCAGAGGTTAAAACCCACCAGCTGCTCCTCAAAAACCCTCACTACAAGTCGGAACCAACTCAACGGCACTTAAAAACAACAACATTGGAGATGGTTACTATTGTCATATCCTCAAACTTCAGCTAAGTCTCTAAGGATACCGAGACCGACATCACAAGTGACTGGCATCTGAGTGCAAATTTTTCTAGATATCAGCATTCCTTACAACCAATGATGATTTTCAATTTAGGATCTAGCGTTTAGCTTCCACAGAAGGCTCTTATTGTTCTGAGTAGGAGAGTCAGCATTTGTGGTGTTAAAGCAGATAGGTTTGTGTTATTACCTCTGGGTTCCATATCACCATCGCACCAAGAGGTTTGATTTCAGGGCACACACAACCTGGAAACCCTAGAAAATGCAGTTATCTTGAAAACCGGGGAAGGGAGCATCATTTGTAGGTTTCGTGGTGGGCCTGACAAAACAGAGCTTGAGGCATGAGACTGTCATTTCCCTTAAAACTCGCAGCACATTCTGGGCTATTGAGGAAGCACTCAGGGACTTCATGAAGCCCTAAAGGGGTAGTTTTTTGGAAATCCTATTGTTGTTCATTGCTGTGGAGTCAGCTTTGACTCATGGCAAGTCCATGTACAACAGAATGAAATGTTGCCAGGTCTCATGCCATCTTCACAAAGGTTTGTGTGCTTGTCCAGTTTTATGACCATTGTGTATTTTGAGTGCCTTCTGGCAGGTAGGGGCTCATCTTCCAGCATTATGTTATTAGTTGCTGTCCAGTGGATTCTGACTCATGGTGACCTCCTGTATACAGAGTAGAACTTCTTCCTAAGGTTCTCAAGGCTGAAATAATTCAGAAGCAGACTACTAGACCTCTTTATGAGATGTCCAGGGTGGGTCTGGATTGCTGTTGACTAGGGTCGCTGTAAGTCAGACCCAACTCGTGGAACACAACCACCACCACCACCACTTTTTATAGGTAGATCACCAAGCCTTCTTAGTTTGTCTTAGAAACTCCACTGACACCTGTCCACTATGAGTGAGCCTGCTAGTATCTGACATCCTTGTAACATAACTTCCAGCATCATAGCAACATTCAAGCCACCACACACTGAGCAGATTTGTATTTGTACAACTGTGGTAGTAGGTTTAGAGTGGGTGGTAGATAAGTTTCTTCTCAAATACAAGAACTTAGTTCTGATTAGATTCCAAACAAGTTGCCATAAAAAAAAAAAATAAAAATAATGCAGCGATTGGTTAGCAACGGATGCTTAATAGGTAGAGTCTTCGGAGACTTGTTACACGTCAACCCATCCTAAAAATCGGTGGGTTGCAGCCTAGTCGACTCTTGACTCATAGCGACCCATCCTAAGACCTCATTTAATGAAAGGCCTCCTTAGCTCTGCCTACTAGAGTTTTAGCCATCTAGACCCAGCATAGAACCCTTCAGTTCCCACTTAGGAGCGTGGTGACAGTTGACCGAGAGCGCTAGCACCGCCAGGAAGGACTGGACAACACGGTAGGTCACAGACGGAAGACGCCGGCCGCATCTTCGGGTCAGGCCGTGGGTTACAGGCTCTGCACGTACGCGAGTCCGCCCCATTGGCCCTCCCCGGGGCGGGGCTCGCCCCGGCGGCGCTGACTCAGCAACGCGAGGGGGGAAGTTTTGTCCCTCCGCGGACCCCGTTTCTGTTGGCTTCAGTTTCACTGCCGCTGCTAAGCCCGTTTCCTTTTTCCGGCGTTCCGGGTGAGACAGGCAGGTCGGGCCGCCAAGGCAGCGATCCGCAGTGCTGTTCCGGAACTCGTCTGAGGACCCCAAAACTACCGTTATTTTGCGAGGCGGTGTGGTGCCATGAACAACGCGGGTGAGGTGCCGCATTTCCTCGCCTGAGCCCTACCTGGGTCTTCTTGGACACCGCTTGGCCCGAGGCCCGGGAACGGAGAAGGGCGGGGGCTGGAGCTTGAGACGATGGCGGGATGGAGCTGGACCGGAGCGGCCTGGAGGGAGACAGCATCCTGGGGGTGGCCGCGCATAATGGGCTTTTCCTCTGTAAAGGTCATTTCAGGATGCACTTACAAAGTTAGACCCGGTGTGTGTGTGGGATCCCCAGGCAAACAACCTTCTTTGGCCCCTTTTTGATGTTATCCCGTTTGGCTTTCCTGCAGGACTGAATTCGGAGAAGGTAACTGCTTTGATTCAAAAGCTGAATTCCGACCCTCAGTTCGTGCTTGCCCAGAATGTCGGGACCACTCATGACCTACTGGACATCAGTCTGAAGAGGGCCACCGTGCAGGCGACTCAGCATGTGTTCCAGCACGTAGTGCCTCAGGAAGGCAAGCCAGTCACCAACCAGAAGAGCTCAGGTGAGAGGTTAAACTTCGGAGCACGGGGGTTTATAAGGAAAGAACTTGTAGTAAATTCCTAGAGAACAGAAACAGATAGAGGCGGTGTAGAACAGTATCCTTTGTGTGTAAGGGGCTCAATGACAACCTCTCACATTGGGTTGGAGTATTAAAGTGGCCAGCGGTGTGCTGGAGTGCAGTTTCTTATTCTGTCCTCAAGTTAAATGATTGCCCTCTCTTGTCTTGCAGAGGTAGCTTTTGGCCACAACACAGAACACATGGAAATGTCCTTGTCTTAGAGGGTTCCTTGTGGAATTGCCCTGAAGGCTATATACAGATGTTGTTGTTGTTATGTGTCGGGAGTCTGTCCGATTCATAGCGAACATGCACAGGGTTTCCGAGGCTGTTAATCTTTACGGGAGCAGAATGCCTCATCTTCTCCCGCGGAGCAGGTAGTTTCGAACTGCTGACCTTGCGGTTTGCAACCCGATTTGTAACCACTACGCTACCAGAGCTCCTACAAATGTTCATATAAATGTATCAACTAGAAAAGACAATGTAGTTACAATCTGAGCTATTAAGCTCTGCCCTCCCCTCCCCAGATAGGCCATGGTGTAATGTGGTGGTAGTGATGTGCTGTGGAGTTGGTTCTGACTCTTTGTTATTAAGTGCATCAAGTCAGTTCCGACTAACAGCAACCCTGTATAGGGTTTCCGAGGAGTGCCTGGTTGATTTGAACTACCGACCTTGCAGTTCAACCTGATCTTGAGGTGCAATGTTTGTCCTATGGCGCCACACCAAGACTACATCCTGTTCTGACCCCTAATGATCCTGTATAGGGTTGCTGAGGCTGTAAGTCTTTACGGGACCACAAAGCCTCATCTTTCTTTCACAGAGCGTTTAGTAGTTTCAAACTCCTGACCTTGAGGTTAGCAGCCCAACTTGTATGATACTATGGCTCCTTCATGGTGTAATAGAGGAAAATCGTTCCATTCTTATACTTTTCTGGTTAAGAGCCACTGTTTGGCTGTCTACTGTTTAGTGTCATTATCAGAGAAATAGCTAAACAGTAAAGAAGACAGCTTCATAATTAAGTTGAACAAAAAAGTTTTTAAAGTCACTATCTGTTTTAAAAATCATTTACAGTATATCTAGAGTCCTGATGTGGCGCTGTGGGTTAATGCACCATACTGCAAAGCTATTTGAACTGCAAGGTCAGCAGTTCAAGCTCACCAGCTGCTTCTTGGAAACCCTATATAGGGTCGCTATGGGTCGGAATTGACTAGACGGCACTTCACAACAACAAGATTGACAGAAAGCAGATCAGTACTTGCTCAGGCCAGTCAAAACTCAGACACACTTACTGTAAGTGTATATTATGATACCAGAATTATACCTCAGTAACATGGTGTGGCACTATAGGTTAATGCTTTGGACATATTGTCCGGAGGAAACAGTCGCTGGAGAAGGATGTCATGCTAGGTAAGGTGGAGGGTCAGAGAAAAAGAGGAAGACCCCTAAAGAGATGGATTGGCCAGGTGGCATCATTGATGGACTCAAGTGTGGCAGCGGTAGTGAGGTTGGCCCAGGATCGGACATTGTTTCGTTCTGCTGTGCATGGGGTCACTATGAGTCGGTTCCGACTCGATGGCGCCTGACAACAACAACAACAACATGGTGTGGCGCTATAGGTTAATGCACTGTACTGCAAAGTTGGTTTGAACCACAAGGTCGGCAGTTCAAGCTCACCATCTCCTCAGAAACCCTATAAGGGGTTGCTATGGGTTGAAATAGACACAGTGGCACTTAACAACAACAAAAGTTAATTTTTAAATTTTAAGGGAAAAATCAGGGCTTGTGATGATATTTGGCTGGAGTAGATGCGCTTAGGGTGGTGGGGCATGTCAGACTACAAATGACTCAGTAATATCCCAATGGTCCTCTGTAGTTTAGGGTACAGGAAAAGCCATGAGATGTTAATATGTAACAAGTCAGGTATTAAACATTCTGTAATGTCACCTTCATATACAAAAGAGAACAACAACACGTGAACTGTGCGTTTTATTTTTATGTAGTTTTCAGATTAACAATTCATCCAGAGTCACTCTTTTAGAAATGTGAAATGGATAAGAGAGATGATATGCAAGCAAACCAAAGTAAAAGTGAAGTGTATTAAGGCAGGCCATTAGTGACTTTCCAAAAAAACCCACTATCATTAGTTACTTGAGAAAAGTTAGAAAGTATTGTTAAATTAGAATATTTGAAAAATGTTAAAAAACACATATTACCACTCAGAGCTAACATTTTTATAAATATATACACTTGCACATGTATGTGCTTAATATGAGTTGATAATGTTACACATTGTTAGGTAGTCCCCATACCTTTTTCATTTACCAGTACACTGTGAATATATTTTCATGTCAGTAAAAAAATTATACCCAAATATAAGGCAAGGTTTTTCATTCTAAATTTTCCTCTAGAAAAGAGAGTTACCCTATATTTGAGACCTTACAAAGACTCAGAGTGATCACGCTCAATAATTTATTTTGCAACAAAGTTTACAGTTTGGCAAAGACAGTACAATGAAATGACCTCAGTCTGTGCTTGTTTGGATACTTACAGAGATCATTTGATAGACTCAGTGTTTTAAATAGGTGGAATGTTTGAACACAGAATATTGCTGGAGATGACCTCACAAATGGAAATGTTTGATGTCATTACAAATAGGCCTTTTAAAGATCCCTTAATTAGGACAGGAAGTGGTGACATGTAGAGATTGTGATCATTCACTTGCAGGATAAATGAAGAATATTCTTGTATGAGAAGGCTTCCAAAAGTTCATGAAAAAATGGAATGAAAAGATAATGGAATTGCTCCATAAACTTTTTGAAGCCTCCTTATACATGTATATTTGAGGATTGTCATAAAGTTTTCAGAGACAACATCATACTTGGATTGAAAACATTTCAGTTTTTCAAGCTTAACTAGGTGGGAAAAGTAGATATATTCTGCTAGACGATTGAAAAAGTGGATTTAACAGTGGTAAAGGCACTGATGGCAAGGTGCATATGAAGAGTTTGAATTGGTTTTTAATGAGAGGTGAAAGTAGAAAAAGTTTCTAAGTCAATTTATTATGTTAACATTAATTTAAAAACATGTGCTTTTAATTGACTAAATTGATACTATAGGTATTGACCATTTGTTATTTCATCTGTATCATTAAATGTTTGCATAATTCACTTGACCAAAATCATCCTTCTTTTGACTCCTCATTAGGAGAATAGGGAATTGATTTACGTTAGTGTCACTTTATATCAAGCATATGCTATATATTTTAGATTAAAGGGTGGAGACTTTTAAAGCTTATGCTACGTTTTATCAAAGTGCTGTCAGATACTTTGTACTTATTCAGTTTCCTATCTTCTATCTAGAATTGTAACAAGGCTTATTTTCCCAAATCCAGTATTGGGTTTTGTCAATTAAAAAAAATTTTTTTTCCCACTCACAAATGTATTATGATGAACTTTAAAAAATATTTGTTTGCAATTGCATATCTTTTGGCTATTGAATGTTTTATTCATGATCCCTGCTCATGTTTCTATAGTAATGTTTGTTTTTTAATATGGTTTTCTTAGGTGACTTTTAATTTGATTCATTATGTGATATACAAAGAGATTTTTTAAAAATGCATATGTTAAGGATCTTATTAAGACTTTACATATTGGTTGGAGATAGTAATTACTACCTTTCTTGATTTTTATTTTTTTTAAGCTTCCTGCTCTTTTTGATTTAATCTTTAATTGTCCAAGATCTAATCATGGGTTCAGTGTTGGGAAATACATTTGGAAAAATGTAGCCTATGTAAACACTCATCGTAATGTCTTGGTTTGCTTTCTTGTTTCAGGGCGATGCTGGATCTTTTCTTGTCTGAATGTTATGAGACTTCCATTCATGAAAAAATTAAATATTGAAGAATTTGAGTTTAGTCAGTCTTATCTATTTTTCTGGGACAAGGTATGGGACTGACCTTGCAAGATTCTTTTGATTTCAATACCAACGTTGGCAGAGATCGACTCTTCATTTCTTGCTTCTCCAGTTATAATTTGCTCTCCCATTATAGATAGGACATTTATTATGATTTCCAAAGTATCAAAAGTTGCCTCATTTCAAAGGCAGTACTGCTTTTGATTGTTACATGGCTCTTTTTTTTTTTTTTTTTTCAAATGAAGTAGTAAATCTACTGGTTCACCCTGTTGCTTGCGTATTTCTTTTTTTTAATTTTGTTTTTACTAACTACCCTTTCTCATGCTTTTATTTAGTTTATTTGGTCATTCAAGACCCTAACTCGCCTTCTCTAGGTAGTATTTGTCTAAAAAATAGTGAATAATATAATTCTATTTTTTGATCCTTGGAATGTCCATTAAATGTTTATTTATTGAAGACTCTTAAGTATTATATTTTGTTTCAAAACAAAGCAGTGTTTTGTTTTGAATAAACTATTGGAATATATATACAAGCATAAAAAGAAAATTCAAGTAGTTACATGAAGCCAGAAATCACTATTTAAATACCAACTTTTTTTATAAAAAAAAACCTATTATATTGGGTCCACATAGTTCCAAGATTCTTGTTCTGTTGATAATACAAATTCAGCTACTGACTCTCTTAATTTTATTTAACCTTTCTTATTCTAGGTTGAACGCTGTTATTTCTTCTTGCATGCATTTGTGGACACAGCCCAGAAAAAAGAGCCTGAAGATGGAAGGCTGGTGCAGTATTTGCTTATGAATCCTGCAAATGATGGTGGACAATGGGATATGCTTGTCAATATTGTTGGTAAGAGCCTTGCTCTAAAGGAATTGAAACGCAGCATGATCAAGCAAGGCTGTGTAATTAGGCATAAACCATTTAATTTATGGTTATGTACAGACTAGAAATAGTCTCCACTGTCACTATCAATTATAAAGTATTTGTCTGAAATCAGGGCTAGGCAGAATTGTGACATTGGACTGGAGAAGGAAAAGCTAATAGCATTAAGAAGAGTTAATTTTCCATAAAAAAAGCTTACTGCTTGTCCGTTGATATAGTCAGGAGATATACTGAAACTGTAACTATCTAAAAATTTGATAAGGATTTTCTTTTGGGAAAAACTTATCATACTGAGTACTTTACAAAATACGATAGAAGAAAATAACAGCATCAATTCTAAAATGGATAAATACAGATTAAATTATCTTTTATAATATGGAGGTAATATAATAATTGTTATATTTTCTGAATTAGACCAATAAAATGTGGCTTTGTAAAATTTTTATAGCAATAGTTGTTTTTATCAGAATTTCTAATGCTAGAGTATATGCTATTTTTATCAGGGTTTGTAATGCTGGAGTATACTTAAACCTTACTGAATACTGTAAAAAATTTTTTTTCTTTTAGAAAAATATGGTGTTGTTCCTAAGAAGTGTTTCCCTGAGTCTTATACAACAGAGGCATCTAGAAGGATGAATGATATTCTGAATCATAAGGTACAGATATGGAGCAGAGTGAATTTAGTATACGCACTTTCTTAAAACTCTGATTTCCTTAAGAGGTTTCTGGGTCTTTCATTGTACACAGTTTATGTATAAGATAGCAGCTAATGTTGATGTCTATCAAAAGTAATGTGGCTGATTCATACTAGCTCTAAAAGTAATTGAGATTTGTTTTGTTTTTTATCTTCCATTTACATTTCTGGTGATGTTAAAGTTTTGTTATGAGTACTTTGTTGTTAAGTGCTGTTGAATTGTTTTCAGCTCATCGTAAGTGACTCTGTATACAGAGTTTCTGAGGAGTGGTGGGTGGGTTTGAACTGCCAATCTTGCGATTAGCTGTCCAGTTCTTACGTTACCGTGCCACATTATTATGACATGTTCAGTTGATCTAAGCACACTGGGTGCTATGTCTCAGTTCTTGTCGAGGCTTGGACAGGTCTGTGTAGTAGTAAGCACCTACCCCATTGCCATTGAATCTGTCCCGATTCATAGCTACCTGATAGCTATGAATAGAGTAGAGCTGCCACATAAAACTGCCTTGGAAACCCTAGACATGGTCTCGAACTGACTCACAGGCACTTAACAACATATTCTCCCAAAATTAAAAGCAACAACAAAAAGAAAAATAACTCCATAGGAGCCTTAGAAGATTCCCTGGGATCGGTGGAGATACAGATAGTGACTCACCATCACCACTGTCTCCATTATTAGGGGATTGAGTCCAATTTTCAGAGTGAAGCAAGTCTCTGACAAGAGCTCCTTGTAAATCAGAATACTTAAGAATTCAGTTTTCTTGCAATACTCATTAAAATAGATCTAGACCTATAGAAAGTCCGTAAAATTACTGATGGTCAAAGAAGATTCCCTTCCCCTTCTCTTTGAATAAGGGCATAGGACCTGGGTTACCAGAAATACTACTACAGCTGAAAAAAAAAACGAAAAAGAAAATAGTCACTGAGGGTTGGCAATAGTTATTTGGCAGAGAAAGAGAAGTGGACAACTAGAAAAATCTAAAAAACCGTATCCTCTTAGAGTGACTTAGTGGCATGATTGTCTTAATCTCTTATTGTTTCTAAGAATTATGTTTTTAGTAAGAATTCTGGAAAACCAGAATTCTTACTGAAAACATAAAAAAGACTTGCCATTGAGTTGATTCCTACTCACAATGACCCCACATATGTCAAAGTAGAATTGTCCTCCATAGAGTTTTCAATGGTGGATTTTTTTTTCCTCTCTTTTGAAGTAGCATGTTAGACTTTTCTTTTGAGTGCCTCTTAATGATTTTGCATTTTCAGCCTCTTGGTTAGCAGCTAAGAATGAACCATTTGTACCACCCATGGACTTCAGGCATTATGTTGTTATTGTTGTTAAGTGCCGTGGAGTCAATTCTGACCCATAGCGACCTTGTATAGAGTTTCCAAGGAGCAGCTGGTGAGCTTGAACCACTGGCCTTGCAGTTCAAACGACTTTGCAGTCGGACGCATTAGCCCACAGCGCCACACCAGGACTCCAACTCCAGGCATTATAGAATCAGCTCTTTTCCCCATACCCAGGTATATACTGTCACAGAGGGTACTGTCAGTTGTACTACAGGGCCTATTTGTCCAGGGAACAGTTCTTGTTTGGTACTTTTGGTGATAATCTTTTATCTTCTCTACTCACGGGAAATGTTATTATCTATGTGTTTTAGAGGACTGGCTGGAGAAAAACACAATTGCTTTTATGAATTTACTAAGTTGTACTTAAGTAAAGAACTAACAATGGCCTGTTAGTCTCATTTACAGTTAATTTTCTAAATAAATTATTGTCATAGATGCGAGAATTCTGTATACGGCTACGGAACCTGGTACACAGTGGAGCAACCAAAGAAGAGATCTCAGCCACACAAGACACCATGATGGAGGAGGTAATAACAATTATTTAAATTTTTATGACTCTTCTAAAGAACTCTCAAATTCTTCCTGTATATTAAACTGATTAGGAAGCATGGTCATTGCAGTAAATCTTAAATTGGATTATTTACAGCTGGAAAACTAAGGTATAAACTCACTTTCCGGCACATACAACAACAACAGCAACATTTTAGTATGGAAGTTATAATTACGCTTTCTAAATCCCAGTTGTTATTAGATGCTGTTGAGTTGGTTCCAAGTTAAAGCAACTCTGTGTACAACAAAATAAAACACTGCCTAGTCCTGTGCCATCCACACAATTGTTGCTATGATTGAGCCCTTTATGGCAGCCACTGTGTCAGACCATCTCATTGAAGGTTTTCCTCTTTTTCACTGATCCTCTACTTTCCAAAAATGATGTCTTTCTCCTGGGATTGGTTCCTCTTGATAACATGTTCAAGCACATGAGATGAAGCTTTGTCATCTTCATTTATAAGGAGCATTCTGGCTGTAATTCTTTGAAAAAAAGACTTGTTCTATTCTTCTAGCATTCCCTTCATTGTTACTCACTAACACTATAATTCAAATACATCAATTCTTCTTCAGGCTTTCTTTCTTACTGTCCAGCTTTTATATGAGGCAATGGAAAATACCCTAGCCTTGAGTCAGAAGCACATTAGTCCTCCAAGTGACATCTTTGTTTTTTAATATTTTAAAGAGGTCTTTTTGTAGCATATTCGCCCAGTGTAAAACTTGGCTTGATTTCCTGACTGCTGCTACCACAGGCATGGTATTGTGGATTGTGGTATTGGGAAGTAAAATGAAATCCTTAACAGCATGAATCCTTTCTCTGTTTATCATGATTTTCTTTACTTGTCCAGTTGATAGGCTTTTTGTTTTCTTTGCACTGCAGTGTAATCCATATTGAAGGCTGTAGTCTTTGATCTTCATCAGTAAATGCTTCAAGTCTTTGTCGCTTTCAGCAAGCAAGATTGCGTCATCTGCATATCTCAGGTTAATAATGATTCTTCCTCCAATCTTGATGCCATTTTCTTTTTCATATAGTCTGGCTTCTCAGATTATTTGTTCAACATGTAGGTAGAATAAGTTTGATGAAAGGATACAACACTGATGCTCACCTTCCCTGATAACTACATCAACGAAATATCCCTTTGTTCTGTTTGAATAACTGGGTTTTGGTCTGTGTATAGACTGTGTATGAGCACAACTAAGTGTTCTGGAATTTCCATTCTTTGTAATGTTATCCATAAACTTTTATGATGTACACAGTCCAGTGCCTTTGCATGGCCTTTAAAACAGGTAAACATCTGTTTGCTATTCTCTGCCAAGAGCCATCTGACATCAGCAATGATATATCCCTTGAAACTATTTCCACTTCTGAATCCAATTTGAATTTCTGGAAGCTTCTTATTACTGTACTGCTGCAACCATTGTAAAATTATCTTTAGCAAAATTTTACTTGTATGTGATATTAATTATATTATTTGTTAATTTCTGCATTCTGTTGGGTCACTTCTCTCTGGAATAGGCACAAATAAGAATCTTGTCCAGTCACTTGACCAGGTAACTGTCTTCTAGGTTTCTTGGAATGAGTGAGTGCTTCCTGCAGTGCATTTGCTTGTTGAAACATCTCAATTGGTAGTTTGTCTATTCCTAGACCTTGTTTTTAACAATCGCCTTCATAGTAGCTTGAATTTCTTCAGTACCATTGGTTCTTAATCCTGTGCTACCTTCTAAGATGATTGAATGTTGACCAATTCTTTTTGATCCAGCGACTCTCTATCTTTTTATCTTTTTTTTTGTTGTGAATGGGGTAAAGGTTTGCAGAGCAGAGCAGACCAGTTTTCCATTCAACAGTTCATACAGATATTGTTTCATCTCATTGACTGCAATCCTCACAATGAAACATACTTTATTCTACATCTCCTCTGTATTTCCTGTTTTCATTCTTTCTCCTTTCCTAACCTTTCTGAACTTTGTCCTAGGACCATGGCCTTAGTCACCCTTCAGATCTGGAAATGAACTCTTTCCATCTTCTTTTGTTGGTGTTTCTTGTATCATTCAATATTTTGCCCATAAAATTCTTTAATATTATAACTTGATGCTTGAATTTTTTCTCCAGTTCTTTCAACTTGAGAAATGCTGAGCATGTTCTTCCCTTTTGATATTCTAACTTGAGGTCTTTTGTTCATTTCATTTTAACATTTTATTTTGTCTTCTCAGGCCACCCTTTGAAATTTTCTATTCATCTCTTTTACTTCATTATGTCTTCCATGCACTTTAGCATTCAAAAGCAAATTTCAGAGTCTCTTTTGACATCCATTTTGGTCTTTTTTTTTACCGCCCAAAATGGTAAATCTTTTTTTCCCCCACTTTTTATTGTGAATTGAGTGAAGGTAAACTTTAAGACAAGATCGTCAGCCTTACTTTCAACCAATCATACATTTTGTTTCATCTCAATGATTACACACCCTTCCCTGCAACAAGAGTTATCCTGCTTCTACTCTGTTGCTTCCCTTTTACATCTTCTTTTTCACAACTGAAGAAAGCAAAAATATTTAATGTCTACGTACAAAACAAAAAATATATATTCCTTTAAATGTCCAAAGGGCACATTTTGCAAGCCACCCTCCTGCCCACAGGCACACAGCCTTTCTCAGTCCATGGGTGTAGATTCCTCAGCTGCTCTGTCTCTCTGTGCCATTGCCTCTGCCACCTTCTCTGCTGTTGCCACTTTTCTGGGTAGGATTTCACTCTCTACTCATTCTGTTCCTTCTTGATGGAGCTGAGGTCTTCTGTTCCTGAACTCAAAGGTTAACTCCGCCCCCCTTTAGTGATCTTTTCTTTTTAGTGACTTTTGGATTTCTTCTTGTATGATGTCCTTGATGTCATCCCACAACTTGTCTGGCCTTCGATCATTGGTGATCTTGGAAGTATAACTTAACCTGAGGTACCATTTGGGGTTTAAAATAGTACTCCTCATTGGATTTTTGTGAGGATCAAATAAAAAATTAAAAGAATGAAAGCTATAGTGCCTAGCATATATTGTTCAAATTTATTATTATTTTTAAATGTTTAATTGTGAATTATGTGATAGTTTACATGGGAGAATATTAGCTTTACATTTATCCTATCGTATATCGTTTCATTGTCCTGGTTACAATCCCCTCCGTGCATCATCAACCAACCAAAGGGTATACCCTGCAAGCCTGCCCCCTGGTCGTCAGCACACAGCCTCTCTCCCTCTCTGGGTCTAGAGTCCCCAGCCGCTCCATCTCTCCACATCATCATCTCTGCCTCCATCTCTGGCATCACTGCTTCTCTGGGTAGGGTCCCGCTCTCTGCTCTTCTCCCTTGATGGTCCCAGGGACCTCCGCTCCTAGACTGCAAAATGTCTACCTTTACATCAAATTTGTTTTTTAGATGGTCTCTAAATTTATGTGGCATACACTGCAGCAGGATGTACTTTGACTCTCAGGGATTTTATTAATTTTCTTCAACTTCAATTTGCATGGGAGAAACTGACGGTCTGGTCTACAGTCAACTGATGATATTGGGCTTCTGACATGATACTGAGCTTCTCCATCATCCCTTTCCATAGATGTAGTGGATTTGACTTCTGTGTATTACATCTGGTGAGGTTCACATATATAGTCTTTGTTTAAATTGTTGAAAAAGGTGCAGGCAGACCTCGGGTACCAAATGAGATCCGTTCCTAGCTGTATCTTAAGTCTTTGATTGGGAACAGATTCCTAGACTTTCTTCAGTACAAGAAAAGACTGGAAGCCTTTTCAGGGGTTTAAAAGCTGCTTGTGCTACAAGTGAATGTTATTTTGATGAAGAATTTGTTTTGAGGAAGAATTTGTTCTGAGTAGAGTAAGTTCAGTCTTTCAAAGTGAAGGCAAATTTATATAACATTAAAGGGCAAGTAGGAGTTGTCCATAAATTGGAAGTTGGTAAGCCAGGGACTGCCTGTGGTTCCCAGGGTCTAGAAATCAAATGATGTATTGCATTAGGCAAATCTGCTGCACAAGACCTTTTTAAAGTGTTGAAGAGTAAAGATGTCAGCTTGAGAACTAAGGCACGCCTAACCCAAGCCATGGTATTTTCAGTAACCTCATATGCATGCGAAAACTGGGCAGGGAATAAGGAAAATCATAGAAGAATTTATCCATTTGAGTTCTGAGTTGTGAGTTAGGTGTTGGAGGAAAATATTTAAAGTACCATGGGCTGCCAAAAGAACAAACATCTATATTAGAAGAAGTACAGCCTGAGTGCTCCTTGGAGACCAGGATGCCCAGACTTCATCTCTCATACTTAGGACATATTGTTGGGTGGGACCAGTCACTGGAGAGGTATATCATGTTTGGTAAGGTGTAGGGTCAGAGAAAAAGAGGAAGATCCTCAGCAAGATGGATTAGCAAAGTGGCAGCATCAGTGGGCTCAAGCGTGGCAACAATTGTAAGGTTAGCCCAGGACCGGGCAATGTTTCGTTCTGTTGTGCATAGGGTCGCTATGAGTCAGTACCCACTCTGTGGCACCTAACAATAACAACAAATCTCTTTTATGGAGTGGCACTGTAGAATAAAGCACTGGACCGCAAAATCTTTGAACCACAAGGTTGGTGTTCCAAAGTCCCCAGCCGCTACTTGGAAACCCTCTACAGGCTCACTATTAAGTTGAAACCAACTCGACGCACTTAACAACAAATCTTTTTAGGAGCTCTGTTAGTGGAGTGTATTGTAAGCCAAGCTGCTAACCACAAGGTTAGCAGTTTGACTCTACTACCCCCACTGGAGAAAGATGAGAATTTTCTTCTCCTGTAAAGATTTACAGCCTCAGAATCCCTGTACAGGGTCACTATGAGCTGGAACCTACTCCATGACACATCACCACCACCACCACCACATCTCTTTTCTAACTTTTACATCTGATTTCACTGCATCTTGATTGCATGTTTGATCAGTTTCAGACTGCAGAAGTTGGTAAAAAA